TCGCAGATGAGATATTCGGAGCCAATTACGAAGAATATTCAAGTGCTCTCGTGTATTGAAAGGCAGATACATCATTGATACGATTATGTCAATGAAGCTCAAGTATCTTATGGTAACGACAGACCGTGGGAAGATTAATTCAATTTCCCCTAAGAGGTTCTGACTCTCCTTTCAAGATGAAAAAATAAAGAAATAAAAAAAAAATTCTCAAGACGATGAGCTTTATTGGTATCATTGCCTTTAAGATGTGCAATTATAAACAAAAATAAAAAATGATATAGTAAATAAAAAATATTGAAGAAAAAAAATATATGGCGAGAGGAAAGAGAAAGATATAGCAACTTCTATATTAAGTCAGAAAAAACGTTATTATCTAATTTTCTTTAAGTGTATTTTTCCCCTTAGAGGGAGATTACGGATAAAGATGACTAAGCAACATTTACACAAACAAAACACACCCCTTATATTATAGGATTTTCCCTTTTTCTTCTTCATTTTTTTTCCGCCTCATGTACATTGTTTGCCACCATCAGATTTTGATGTATATGTGTCATATAAGATATAAAAATATGATGAGGGGAAAGAATTTAGCATTTTTTTTTTTTTTTTGCTTTTTTAAGGGGAAACTATTCTTGGTTATTGTGTTACAAAACAGTTGAAGGTAATCCTAAAGCTCTTAAATCGAAATGAAGGCAGTGGATAAAAATTCATTGGGGTTATAAATAAAATATAACTTTGACTATTGTTCTAGTGGGGAATATTTAGAAGTTTTTGATAATTCGTTGGAATTAGTTTTGGTTAAAAGAGTATAAGTAGGAAGTCTTTAATGATTATGTCTGAATTTTGTGGTTTTGTCTAGCCAAGAGTCACTTTTACTACTTAGACGAAAAATAGAAGAAAATTTTTCTTTTTTTGGATGGAAATGTAATTTTTGGATGATAATCTTACTTGTAGTATAATCAATACTTGAATTTAAATTACAAGTGGAATTTTTGTCTGACCTTAATTTTTCTTTACTACTGATGACAAAATTTATGGAAAATGGTACTGTAAGGTCTGACTAAGAATGTCTTTTACTACTTTCACTAAATTGTTAAAAGTAATCTGTCTGACTAAAAGTATTTTTGACTACCAATTTTTTTTATCTTTCCACTAGTAACTAGAAGTGACTTATTTTTGTCTGAGCAAAACTACTTTTTCTACTTACAATCAAAACTACAGAAAACCGTCAATTTTGTCTGACTAAAAATAAATTTCTCTACCAATAATAAAATTTCGAGAAATTACTGCTTTTGTCTGTTTAAAACTACTTTTTCTACTTACAACCTAATCCACAAAAAACCGTGAATTTTGTCTGACTAAAAATATGTTTCAGTACTAATAGTAAAATTTCGAGAAATTACCACTTTTGTCTGAGCAAAACTACTTTTTCTACTTACAATCAAAACTACAGAAAACCGTCAATTTTGTCTGACTAAAAATATATTTCACTACTAATAGTAAAATTTCAAAAAATTACCACTTTTGTCTGAGCAAAACTATTTTTACTACTTACACTAAAATTTTAATAAATTACCTATTTTTTAATAAAAACTACTTTTTCCATTAGCTTTCAAGATACTTTTTTGTCACTAATAGTAAAATTACGAGAAACGACTACTTTTGTCTGACTAAAACTATTTTTCCTACTTACACTACAATTTAAAGAAAACCATCAATTTCATGTGACTAAAAATTTTTTTACTACTAATAGAAAAATTACGAAAAAACAATTTCTTCTGACTGTCCAAAACTATTTTTATTAATTTCTACTTCTTTCCACTATTTCTACTAATTATAGACAATTAAACTTAAAAGAAATATCTATGCCGTCTGGCTAAAAAGTCTGTTACTACTAATAGTACTTCTGTTTGATTAAAGGTATTTCTTAGTACCAATATTAGTTAATCGAGAAACTGCACAAAATTACTTAAATAACTTGGATTTAATATGCAAAAGATGATCACTGTTGTCTGACTAAAATTATGTTTTACTACTGAATAAATAAATAAATGACTAAATTAAAAAAAATTAAATAAATTACTATTATTATTGTCTGACAAAAAATATTTTTTTCACTTACATTGAAACTTGAAAAATACATAAGATTTCAATTAAATAACTATACTTAAAGTGAAATTTCAAAAAACAAACATTTTTGTTTGTTGAACAAAATTGAACTTCTGACTGATAGATACTCCTTTTAGTATTTCGCCCTAAAATAAAAAAAAATTTTGCTTTAAAATATTTATTTATTTATTTAATCATGAACGGGCTTATATTCAATAAAAAATATTTCTATGCCCTATAAAACAATAATGATTCCACGAGGAAGAAAAATAAATAATAAATTAATAAAAAATAATAAAAATAAAATCAAATAAATATAAATATAAAATAAGTAAATAATGAAATAATGAAATAATAAAATAAAAATAAAATTAATTTAACTCAAATAAAATAAAAAAAAAATAAATTTGAAATAATCAGGAAATCGATAACTTCCTCATGCTCATAATTTTGCGTGCGAGATGTAAATTAATTAGTTTGAAACGAGCTTATCGAATGTTTACACGTTATGTATTATGTTTTTTTATCAAAACAATTTTTACATTTAATAATCACATTTTTTTCCTCTCTTTAGTTTTTCTTTTAACAAGTTTTGTTCCAATTATATCGAGAGTCTATAAAATCGTGCCATAGTTTCATAAATCTTTAATGATATTTTCTACTTTGCAGTTGAAAAGCAAATTATTCAATTACAGTCAACGCATGAGAACTCAATTTACATAGAAAGTAAATTTATTATTTACGAGATATATCTGTCTTCACAAACACATTAGTATCTCTATTATTCTAACATGTATAATAGAAAAATAATTCTATTTTTCTTCATAACTTTTATTTTTTAAATATTATTTTTCTATTCTTTTTGAAGAATCGATTTTTATTTTTTCCCAGTAAAATTTTATTACTATGTTACAAATTGTATTTCAGTTGCTCTTTTTTTCTATCTGAGAATTCTAAGAAAATCATCGCCGTGTATGACATTTTCCGCTATATTGGGTCAATATTGTTCCCTGGTGGATATTTCTGGAAAATCCCTCTAACATTATATGTATATATATAGAGAGAGAGAGAGGCGAAGACATTATATTTGTGAAATGATGAAAACATAAATGTTTGCCAGCTTAAATTCATTTGCATGATATTGACAAGTTTATTTAGCTTTTTTTACTAGATTAAAATTAAAAGAAAATAAAATTGTAAATTAAACGTTGATGAAAATTTTTCAACCGCTGTAAATTTAATTTTCCCTTGAAAATAACAATTTTAAATTGAATTTTTTATGAAATATTTTCTTCTTTATTTTAAGAGAATGTATTTTTTTTAAATAAATATTTGTCAAATGCGAAGAATTATAATTGCAAAAATTGTAATTGCAGAAATTTCAATTGTAAATAATTTGTGAAAATAAATTATTCCTTTATGGAAAAAATAATAATTTAAAATTTAATCTTTTTTAAACGATTTTCATCTTATTTTCGTAGCAGTATTTTTCATAAATAATATTCGTTTAATGCAAAAAATTATAATTGCAAAGTTTTCAATTTGTAAAATTTTAAAAATAAATTCTCTCCGAGGTAAAATAAGATTTTAGATTATTTATAAAAGATATTTCTATTACTTTTAAAAAATTATTTTTCAAAAATAAATATTCGTCAGATGCAAAAACTATAATGGCAAAAATTTCTATTACAAGAAATTTAAATAATAAATTTCCTACAAATTGATTCAAATCGATTTAAATTGATTCAAATTGATTCAACTAAAAGTTGAATCTGTTATAAAAAAAATTCTCTTTGATATGAAAAAAAAACTATTTCGAAATTGAATCTTTTAAAAAATATTTTCGTCTTTATCTTTAGAGAAAATTTTTTCAAAAATAAATATTCGTATTGAATGTAAGAAATTGTAATTGTAAAAATTTTAATTACGGAAATAAAAATTAATTCCCTTGAACGGAAAATAAGAATTTAAAATTGAATATTTTATTCTTACAAAATTTGTTCTTTAACAAATATTTATATATTTATTTAAGTACATCGTCCATTGCAATAAATATAAATTCAAAGAATTTAAATTACAAAAATTCTCAAAATAAACTCCCCATGAAGGAAAAATGACAATTTAAAATTGAATCTTTTGTAAAATATTCTTTTTCTTTTACAACATCTTTTTTCAAAAATATGATACACATTGATTTAATATTTAATATTGAATATTGAATATTGATTGCCAACTGCAAAAATTGAAACTAAAAATCTTTCAATTACATGAATAAAAAAAATTCTCGGAGAAAAAAATCTTAAATTGATTCTTTTATAAAAGATTTTCCTTTTCCCTTTAGAAAAGTATTTTTTAAAAAGAAATATTCGTTTAATACAAAAATTATAATTGCAAAAATTTCACTTACAAAAATTACAGTTCTATTAATTTTAATTATAAAAATAACAATTTACTAACAGTTTGCAATAAAATTGTAAACTGTAAATTGTTATTAAAATAAAAAATATAATTTTTCAGAATTATATCTGTAGATGTAGAATCATTGAAAATTATTTTCAATTTCCAGAAAATGCATAAAATATCAATAAAACGCAAAATAAAAGCAATAAACGAGTATTTAAAATTAATGCAGTAGAAATAAAAAAGTTTATTGTTCCGGACTAGATTATTTGAGTCAATATAATATCTAAGTTTATAACCGGAAACATAAAACTGCATATTACGATAATAATATTAAATGTTCCATAATCAGAATTTCTTTGATTAGAAAACAGAAACATTTGTCGGAAATTTATTTCCACTTTATATATTATGTATAAAAAAAATATATTAAGATTTAAATTTTTCTCATTATTCTTCAACAATACTAAATGAATTATATTATTTTTCAGTCGCATTTCACGAGGCACAGAACGCGACGTCTCACACGTCGTGAAAAATGGCCCCTACATCTGGCATTTATTCTCATTTATTTTTTAATTCATTTGATTTCATCATCGACAACATCGCCATTAAACGTTGGGAATTTAGTTTCAAATACAACGACAATATCGTCAACAATGGAAACGGCGATAAAATCGTCCCAGTTAAATTCCAATCAGTTTGAAAATGAAAAGGACAAAAACAATGACAAGAATAAAGGATTACCCCCTCAGGATCAAGTGAAGGAAAATAATTTTAATGAAAATACAAAGTCACCGGAGAGCGAAAAAGAAAATGAAACAAAAGAAAGTGAAAAGACAAGCAAGGATAATGTGATAGACGATAAAACAATGGGAAAAGAAAATACGGAGCCTGATCGTAAGGATGAAGATGAGAAGAGCGATGGGAATGAGAAGATTTCAGGAAAAATTCCAAATTCAACAAGTGTAAGTTTATTTTTTGAAAAATATTTTTTCTATTTTATAGATTTCGTTTTTATTTTGAAAGTGCTAGTTTCTTTTTTCAAAGTTTTTTTTTAAAGATTCTTCTTCTTTTTGCAATCAGAGAAAAATTTATTTTTCTTTCTAATAGAATTTTGTTTGACAACATTTTTCTCAATTGGGAAAAATTTATAAAATATTTTTTTACAATTTTTTTTCCATCCGAACATCTATAGAATTTTCTTTGAAAATCGAAATAAAACTTGTTTTCAATTTTTATTTCATGTGGGTTTAGAATATTTTCTAAAGTACTAAAGTCACGATTATAAAGAAAAAAGTTGTCTGTTAGAGAAATTCTTTTACTACTTGTATTAAAAATTGTAAAAAGTTTTAATTTTGTCTGACCTTGAAACTCTTTTACTACTGGGACTAAAATTATCGGAAACTGATACTCCAGTCTGAATAAAACTTAGTTTTACTGCTTCTTCTTAAATTAGAAAAAATTCGCCGTTTTGTCTGACTAAAAGGCACTTTTACTACTTTGTAGAGAAAATTACAAAAATTAAACAAGTTTTGTTTGACAAAAATTATTAAAAACTTGCTTTCTCTACTTACGCTGAAACTCAAAACTCACAGTTCTGTTGAGACTAAAGTTTACTTTTATTGATTTAAATTCAAAATCAGAGAGAAATCAAAACGTTGTTTGACTAAAATCCACTTTTACTACTTCTAGTAAAATTACAAAAATTTAACTAATTTGTTTGATAAAAATTCACTTTTTCTACAGAAAACTGGTATTTTTTGTGTTAGACTAAAGTTATTTAAATTTGTTAATATTTATTTTCTCATTATTTTTTATTGTTTTTATTTACTATTTAAATTTAAAATCAGGGAAAACAAAAGCCATTTCTGACTAAAAACTGCTTTTACTACTTCTATAGAAAATTTACAACAGGAGATTTTTCTATTTAAAAAAAAAACTATAATTTTTTCTATTTAAAAGAAAATAAAAAATAACTAATTTTTTTAATTAAAAGGTGCAATAAATTGTTCAATTTAGAGAAAATTGATTTTGTCAAGTAGAAAAAGCAAGTTTTAGTCAGACTCAGTGCTTATAGTTTCTTCCAATTTTGAAACAATAGAAAAACTTATTTTCTTTCAGAATTTCTAAATTTTCAGTAGAAAAATCATTTTTTAATCAGACTGGATAATTTCCGTTTATGGCATTTTAAAATCAGTAGTAAAAGTAAATAATAATGAGACAATCAAACTTTCTTTAACTTCTGTACAAGGAGTGTTAGTAAAAATTACCCAAAATAATAATTCCATCTGACTAAAAGTGTTTTATACTACTTATACAATTTGAAACAAAATTTACAATTTCGTCTGACTAAATTCTACTTATTCTACTATTATTGCAAAAAATAACTATGACAAATACCCACTTTTTCTACTTAAATTTTTTCGTATCACTGAAAAGTAGTTTTTCTACTTTCGATAAAAAGCAAAATTTTTAAAATAAACTTTTAACGTGACTAAAACTTTTTTTTTAGTAAATTTCTGGTAAATTTTTTAAGTAGTCAAAAGACAAAAATTTTAGTCAACTAAAATTGTCATTTATGGTCATTTTCGCTTGTCTAAAAAAATTATTATAATTTGTTTCAAAATAAATAAATTAATATTAAAAACAAACAATTAAAAGTGTATGTATAAATTTTTTTTTAAATTCAAGAATTTTTTTTTAATAAAAAATGAATATTGCAAAAGAAAAATGACACAAAAGTAATTTAAATATATCTGTCTAAATATATTTTTGACTCCTTACGTTGAAAATGTCAAATGTCTGACTAAAACTCAGTTTTACTACTTAGGGCATAACAATAAAATTATCCCACAAAAGAAAATTACAAAAAAGGCAAATTTGTCTGACTAAAAGTGAGTTGTACTACTTACAAAATTTAGCCAAAGTCACTTTCACTACTTTTGCTAAAGTTACGAAGAATTCTTTACAACTTTGTATGAAACACACTTTATTTCACTTCTTCCATTAGAATTACAATAAAGTAACAACTTTGTCTAACTAAAGTTTTTGTACAACTTAGTAAGGAAGTTTACGAAAATTAACTCTTTTGTCTGACTAAAGATCATTTGTACTACTAAAAAAAAAATTACAAGAAACAATACCTTTTGTCTTAGTAACATTGTCCCTTTCTAACTAACACTTCGCTTACAGACGTTGTATCAGAAGTTTAAGAAAGTTTAATTGTAGTTGCTATTGTACTTCTGTCACATTAGTGTAAGAAAATTTTACGTCTCACTATTATTTACTATTACTACTGATTCTAAAATGACAGGAATATTGACAGTAAAGTCTGACTTAAAATTGATTTTTCTACTGAAAAGTTGTAATTTCTGAAGGAAAATAAGTGTTACTTCTTAAACTTTTAGAATTGTCTGACTAAAACTTGCCTTTTCTACTTTGGATATTAATTTTTTTAAGCCAAAAATTTATTCATTCTTTAAAATAAAAAAATTTTACCGCATTTTTTAAATAGAAAAATTTATTGCTTTAAAAGAAGATTTTATTCTTTCTTTTAAATTGAAAAATGTTTCTTTTAAATAGAAGAATTTATTGTTGCTTTCAAATACAAATATCTATTGTTTTTTAAACAAAAAATTTATTGTTTCTTTTAAATAGAAAAATTTGTTGGTTCTTGGAAATAGAAAAATTTGTTTCTTTTAAATAGAAAAATTTGTCATTTATTTTAAATACAAAAATTTATTGTATAGTATACAAATAGAAAAATCTATTGTTTTTTTAAAATAGAAAAAAATTGTTATTACCTTTAAGAAGAAAAAAATATAGTTTATTTTTTAAAAAGAAAAATTTGTTATTTCTCATTCGAATAGAAAAATGTACTGTTTGATTGATTTAGAATTAGCGTAAACTATATCAATTGTGTTTGATTAAAAAGTTTCTTTTTCTATTTTTCAAATTAATTTGTTTAACAGAAAAATTGATTAATTTTTAAAAATAGAAAAGTCTTATAATATTTTTGAAATAGAAAAATCTATTGTATAAAAAAATGATTGTTTGTTAAATGGAAATATTTGTTTTTAATTTATTGAAAATGGAAAAATTTACGCAGATTTTATCAAATAGAGAAATCTATTACTTTTAAATAAAAAAAATTTATTGTTCCTTTTTAGTAAATATTGGTAGATTTTTTAAATAGAAAAACTTTTTGCTTCTTCTTGAGTAGAAAAAATCTTTGTCTTTTAAATAGAAAATACTCCAGTTTTTTTAAATAGAAAAATTAGATGTCTTTTTTTTAAATAGAAAAAAAAATGTTATTTTTTAATAGAAAAATCTCGTTTTCATAAAATAGAAAAAATCTCTTCTCTCCTTTAAATAGAAAAATTTATTCTTTCTTTTAAATAGAAAAATTTATTTATTATTTTTCAAAATTAAAAAATTTCCTTTTTCTTCTAAATAGAAAATTAATTTCTCCATTTTTTTTTTGCACAGGAACCTTCAATTATATCAACGACAAGTATACCTGAACATTCGACAGTGAGGCCTAAAAGAATAAATTGTTCAGCGCCAGCCATCGAACAATTTCCGAGACCATTGATGGGCCCCAGTGCCAGGAAACATGGTGGTCTTATCATTCACATATTAGTCGCAGCCTATACTTTTCTTGGTCTTGCCATAGTCTGTGATGATTACTTCGTATCCAGCCTCGACAGGATTTGCGAGAGTAAGACTCTAAATCTTTCAATTTCCTCTCCATCCATTTTCCATCTTTTTTCTCTCCACCTATTATTTTTTTCCATTATTACTTTTCCCCGGTTTCTTTTATTTTCTAACTCTCTCTCTTAATTTTCAATATCTATTAAATTTAATTTAATATTTAATACTATTACAAGTAGACACATATTTGAAAAAAATTGAAATAATCTTCTTTCTTCCTTTTTCTTTCTATAGAGAAAATTTTTGTTTACAGAAGAAAAATGTTGAAGAAAAATTTAATTAGTAAAATTTGTTCCATTTGATAATATTTCTCTTTGTTTTGAAATTTTCAAGAATAAAATAAATGTAAAAAAATTTGTTTCACATCTACTTTATTTAAAGAATAATATTTTCATTTCTGTTTAATTTATTAAAAAAAATTTAAATTAAAGAGTTTGAAATTACATTTGGAATTTTCTAGTTATTACTAAATTGACATTATTAATGAAGTTGTATTTTATTAATTTTATTATCAATTGAAATTATCTTTCATGACTTTAGTTATGTCGGTTGAAATAATATTTTATGACTTAAATAATTAATTAAATAAATGAATCTCCTTTTACCTAAATTATTAACGAGGGAAATTAATTAATTATTTCTTCTACAAGCAATCAGAGTAATTAATAATTAATAATTGTGGATAATTGATATTATAGAATAGAAAAATTTTTTGTTCAATTTGACCCACTTTTTCCTAATTAAATGGATTCAATTACTTATATATGAATGTACGTATATACATATAAATGTTTGAAGACATTTTTCCGTTTTGTTATAATTTATAAAATGTGATGTTTGAGGAGAAAAAAAATTTTCTTGTACACGGGAAAAATTAATTTTCCCTCATAAAAAATTACTTTTTCCTCTTGAATTCAACTCTCGCTTTTTTTGAGGGGGACGTTAGCTTTTTCACATATCAACATGAATTTCATTTTATCTCTCATAAATTTATCTCACTTAGTGCGAGAAAATCTTGTCTGACCCCATAACAACTTGTTCTACTTAACAGATCAATTTTGTCCGAGACGAGACGAATTTTTTTTTTAACTTTGTGATAAAAATAAAAATTTATTTTCTCCACTTTTTTTTTCTTTTTTGCTTCTTTCTCTCGACCTATTCAATTTTAGAAGCAGTCAGTTCATATTTTAATTACTCATGAGAGTTTTGCTGAATCGAGTTTTATCTTTTGTTTTAAATTATTAAATAATATGAATTTAACGGGTGAAATAATACACATTTTTAATAATTGAATTAATTTGATTTTTAAATTTAAATCACTATTTTATAATAATTTAATTTAATTTTTATTTTTAAATGTAGAAATTAAAATAAATTTTTAAGTAAATAAAAGTGAGGTGAAGTTGAAAAATTTCAAAACAATTTTTACGTAGAGGGAAAAGAGTATAATTTGTGTGATTGTTTCGAAGCACGTCGCGTAAATGGAAAAAAATAAATACTAGTTAAAATATTATGAAATAATAACATTTTCAGCAAAATATTAATTCAGTTATGAAAAGAAAAAAAATTTCTGTTCTTTATTATATTTTTGAACTTTAATTTTTCACTTTAAATTTGAAATTAACATAGAAATATTTGCAATTTAATAAATAGTAAAATAATTTAAATTTAATGAGAAATAAAATAGTTGTAAATTCAAATTGAAATTTAATTCAGAGTAAAATAAATTTAATTTAATTAAAATAGAAATATTCTCAATTTAATTGATAGTTTATTTAATTGAAAATATTTATTTTCAATTTAATTGAGAGTAAAATATTTTTAACTAAAATAAATGTAAAATAGTTCCAAATTAAATTGGAAGCAATATATTTTCAAGATCATTGCATAAATTAAACGAAAAGTACAATAAATTTAATGAAATTATAAGTAAAATATTTTTAATTTAATTGACTTTAAAATGATTTCAATTTAATAGAAAGTAAAAGATTTTCAATTTAATTGAGAGTAAAATATTTCCAATTTAATTAAAAGCAAAATATTTTCAATTTAATTGAAAGCAAAATATTTTCTAGTTATAATTGAATTGAAAGTAAATTTGATTCAATTTGAATGTAAAATATCAATTTAATTAACAGCAAAATATTTTCAATAAAATTAAAATATATTCAATTTATTTGAAATAAAAGTAAAATTCTTTAATTTATTTGAAAGTAAAATAATTTCAATTTAATTGAGAGTAAAATATTTAAATTCAATCGAAAGTAAGATAATTTCAATTTTATAGAGAGTAAAATAGTTATAATTTAATTTTCAGTAAAATAGTTATAATTCAATTGTCACTTGTCAGTAAAATAATTTTAAATTAACTGAGAGTGAAATATTCTCATTTAAATTGAAATAGAAATATTATTAGTTTCATTGAAAGCAACAAATTTTCAAGTTAATTGAAAGTGAAACAATTTCAATTTAATATCGAGAGAAAAATATTTTTAATTCAATTGAATGTGATATTATTATTAGATGATTGAAAATAAAAAAAAATAATTTTTTTTTTACAGGACTAAGATTATCACCAGACGTGGCAGGGGCAACATTCATGGCTGCAGGATCGTCTGCACCAGAATTGGCAACCGTTGTAATAGGAGTCTTCTTTGCGCAAGACGATATTGGCGTAAGTTTCATTCACAAAGGGAAATAATTATTGATCTTATGCATCAGTATTACTGTATACAATGAAAGCAAATACTCATTTTGCAATATTAGATCTTTTAATGTTTTCCTTCTGTCATCTCTTTTTCCTCTTGTCTATATCTTTTCTTTCCTTTCTTTCGCGAGAGCTTCACTCGCGCTTTTGTTCTCCGCTCCATTTTCATCGTCTCTTAATTAATTCATGTTTCTTAATTTAATTAATTTAGTTTTTCTTATATTTTTTCATTCTTCATATTGTTCGTCTTTGCTCTTTTCATTTTACGTCTCTTCTATTTTTAATTTTTCCATTTTTTATTTTTTTCCTGGCTTGTTTATATCTTTACCACTTTTTTCTTCTTTCGTACTTTTTGTTTTTTTATGTTAAATTCTCGGTCAAGTTAATTTACAGTTCTTTTAATTTTCTCCCTTTTAGTTTATTCCTTTATTTATTCTTATTTCATATTTTTCAGTTTTCTTCTTTTCTATTTTTTTCTCTTAATTTTTTTCAATTTTTCATTGTTAACTTAAATTTTTTTTTCATTCTTCCACTGTTTATTATCTTTTCACTTTTTTCTGTTGTTTTATATTTCTTGTTCTTAAGTTAAGTAAATTTTTCCAATTCTTTATTTTTATTGGTCAGTTTGCCTCTTTCCATTTTTCTCCTCCTTTATTCTTCATTTTTCTTCCTTTTTCTTTTTTTCATTATTTTTAATTTTTTCTTCTTTTTCTATTTGTACTTTTCTTTTTTTTATTTTACTGTGTATTATTTTTCTCCTTCTTTGTTTTTTTAAATTAATTAAGTTTCTCTTGTATTTTCCTTTTTTTAGTTTTCTTCGTTCCATTTTTTTTTTCATTTATTTTTTCTTCTGATTAATTTTTCACTTTTGTTCTGTTTTGTTTTTTCTTCTTCTCTATTTTTGAAATTTTCATTTTTACTATTTTCTATAATTTCAGTAGTAAAACAGTTTTGGTCAGACGTACAAAAATTTTGTATTTTTGTCTAATATATTTTATTTTCCCTTTTGCCATTTTTCTTCTTCTTTGTCATCTTCTTTTTCATTATTTATATTTTTTCTTCTTTTCTACTTTTTCTTAATTTTTATTCTTATCTTCATTTCCAATTTTCTTTTTTAGAGTTAATCTTTTTTTCTCTTTTCTAAATTTTTACTTTTCTTTTTCTTTCTCTTTTTGGTTATTCAAATACTTTTTTCTATTTTCCTTTTAGATTTTCTTGAATTTTCTTCATTTTTTTTTTTGTTTCAATTTTCCATTTCTATTTTTATGTTTTATCTTTTTCCTTGTTTTCTAGTTTTCCTTTTTTTATATTTTCTTCTTTTCTAATTTTTTCAATTTTTTATTGTTGAATTAATTGTTTTTTATTTTCTATTCTTCCACTGTTTATTTATGGCTCTTTTCACTTTTTTCTGTTTTGTTTTATATTTCTCGTTCTTAAGTTAAGTAGATTTTGTTAATTCTTCATTTTTATTGGTCAGTTTGCCTCTTTCCATTTTTCTTCTCCTTTATTCTTCATTTCTCTTTTTTTCTATTTTTTTAATTATTTTCAACATTTTCTTCTTTTTCGATTTGTACTTTTCTTTTTTTTTACTTTAGGTAATATGTATTATTTTTCTCTTTCTTTACTTTTTCTTTAAAAATGAATTAAGTTTCTCTTGTATTCTCCCTTTTTTGGTTTTCTCTGTTCCATTTTTATTTTTATTCATTTATTTTTTCTTCTGATTAAATTTTCACTTTTGTTTTTGTTTGTTTTTTCTTTTTCTGAGATTTTTAAAATTTTCTTTAATTTCAGTATTAAAAAACAGTTTTAGTCAGACGTACAAAAATGTTGTATTTTTGTCTTATATATTTTGTTTTCCCTTTTGATATTTTTTTTCTTATTTCTCATCTTATTTTTCATTATTTATCTTTTTCCTTCTTTTCTACTTTTCCTTTTTTTATTTTTTTCTTCATTTATAATTTTCTTTTTATTTATTTATTTATTCTTTATTATTATTTATTCTTTTTAAATAAATTTTTTACATAGTTAATCTTTTTTTTCTTTTCTAAATTTCTACTTTTCTTTTTTGTTATTCAAATACTTTTTTCTATTTTCTTTTTAGATTTTTTGAATGTTCTTTTTTTCACAAGTTGTCTTCATTTCTTTTTTTTTTGCTTAATTTTTCATTTCTATTTTTATGCTTTATTTTTTCTCTTATATTTTCCATTCTCTCGTCTTTTTTTTCATTATTTAATATTTATCTTTTTCTTGTTTATCTAATCTTCTTTTATTACTTTCCTTTTTGTTTTTTGTTTTTCAAAATTCGAATCCTTCTTTCGATTTTATTTTTTGATTTTCTTTTTTGGAATTTATTTTTTTCCATTCATTTTCTTCTTTTCTATTTTTTGTCTTCAATTTTTCATTTCTTAATTCTGTTACATTTTTTTCTCTCATATTGTTCTTCTTCGTATTTTTTCTTCATTTTCTTTTTATTTCCATCCTTGAAATTTCTTCATCGACATATTTTCGTCCTTCATTCCTTTTTTTCAATTTCTACTATTCTCCTATTTCTTCACTACCTTTCTCTTTTTCTTCTTTTCCATTTTTTCATTTTCCTTCTTGCTATTCGAATTTCCTGACATCTTTATCTGCCTCTACCCTCTAATTTCCTTCCATTCGACTTTTCATTTTCAATCCACAGAAATCTCTTCATTTTTTCAATTTCATTCATTTATCATGTCATAAAATTTTCAATTACGAAGAGAGAACAAAACCTTTTTTTCTACTTTTCTACAGTAGTATAAAATATACAATTAAAATGCGCCCTCGTAAAATAAATATCTAGTTAAACAAATATTTACCTATATTTACCCAAAATATTTAAATTCAAATAATAAAGAAAATTAAAATTTGTAATGTTTAATTTTTTTCTTGTAAATATAGGTGAGTGGAGTCATCGGAAGCGCAGTATTCAACATAATGTTTGTAATATCCATCTGTGGCTTGTGCACAACAACAGTATCTAAATTAAATTGGTGGCCCCTTTGTCGTGACTCGTTCTTCTACGCTGTTTCCATTTTAGTTATGCTCGGCACAATATCCAACGAGATAATTTCATGGTATAATTCTGTCTTTAATGTATTTCACTTTATATAATAGATTATTGTAATATTTTGAAAATTACTTGAAAATATTTCTATTGTATTTTTCATTTAGTTAATTAATTAATTATACTCGTTTTTTGAAATTAGAAAGAGAATATTTTTTCAAGAGATTAATTTACTCTTTGTTTTTTGTTGTTGTTGTTTCTCAAGGCCTGAAGCGCTTTTCATGCTTATCATGTACGTTGTTTATTGCGTCACTTTGTCGTATAATGCATCGTTGGAACGTTGGGCAAAATCCTATGATCTTCCATTCCTACCGAAAGATGAAGAGCCAGCAGAACAGAGCGCATTAGTTACATATAAATCCTTACAAGAGGAGAGAGTTTCATACACTGCGCCCAGTTCTCCAACACCGGTTGATCCATGGAAAAATCCAGTTGGTCCGTTACTTTTCACTTTTTATTATTCTTTTTTCTTCTTACACTTTTCCTTTTTTAAATTAGAGAAAATTTTATTTTTATTTTGTTTCTTTTATTTCTTCAATTTTTATTTTTATTCTTTTTTTATTTCTTGTATTTTTATTTTCTTTGTTCTTTTTCTGTTTATTTTGTTTTTTCTTCTATTTGTTCTTTTTGTTGTTTTTTTTGTTCCTCGTTCAATTTTATCTATTTTTCCTTTTTGAAATTAAAGAAAATTTTTAAAAAGTTAGAAAAAAGAATTAAAGGAAAAAAAATAAATTCCATATTAAGGAAATTTACAAAACCTTATAATTTAAAAAAAAATAGTTATAATAATTATATTTATATTATACTTCCCCCGTGAATCAATAAGGTATTGAATTAATTATTGATAAATAAGTTGAGAATCACAGAAAAAATTTAAAAAATCAAGTATAAATTTTAATTATTAAAGAATCTTTAATTAAGAATTATTTCAAGTGGATTTTTTTGCAGATAATGTACTGAATGCTTGGGATGATCCTCAACAACAGGAACAGCAAATGCAACAGCAGCAACCTATTCAGCAACAACCACAACCTCAACAACAGCAGCAACAACAACAAGCACAACCGGCGGCGCCAATTGCAGCGAAACCGCAATATTACAAGGCGAAGGAATACGATCCAAATGAAGTTTCACCATTGGAGAAACCAGTTGATGGTACACGATTTCAAATTTTCTCCTGGGCACTCGTCTATCCGATTCACTATATGTGTCGATTTACAATGCCCGATGTCAGACAGGAGAAGTATAAGAGATTGTATCCCTATACATTCTTCATGTCAATGATGTGGATCAGCTTTTACAGCTATATTATGGTGTGGATGATAACAATAATAGGTATTTATGACTATTTCTTACATTAGCAATTTTAAAAATATAATATTAGAACGTAACAATTTTTAATTCAAATTTTTTTTTTTTATAAAAATAAAATACGAATTAGAATATATAGTTTTAATATTATTATAATTGTAATAATCATATATTCTGACATAGGGAATTCAGGGAAAAGTTAGGAATTAAATTTTTAGGATTCATAAGAAAATTCAGGGAAAAGTAAAAAATTAAATTTTTAGAATTCATAAGAAAATATTCTGAATTTTTGTGTCTTTTTCGTTTGACTGATAAATTATTATAAAATTAATTATCCTAAAGTTCTAAACGTTCAAATTAATGAAATTTATTTTTTTTTCTTCAAATTAAATTTTTATTAGGTACAATATTTTGTGTCACTGTAAATAAAATTAATTATAAAGTTTCTCAATATAAAATTAAAGTTTTTAATTTTTATTGCAATTAGCAATTTATGAAAATATTTTTAATAAAAAGTATTTCGTTCATTTGAACGTTCAAAACTTGTGGATCGTTAAAATTACCACGAATTATAATGCGAAACCTTCAATTTTTTCAATTTCAGACAAAAATTTCTTCTTAAATAACTCAAAATTTTGAACAACTATCCTAAAATAAATAAATTATTTAATGAATAACTTTACTTGAATATCTTAAAATTAATTCAATTTTAAAAGAGTTGCGTTTACAATTCTCATAAATAAATGAATTTCAAACGGTTTCAATTTGAAATTTAATAAAATTTCACTGTTGAATGAATTTAATTAGAAATTTTAATGAACTTAGATTTTTGGAAAATTTTAATAATTCAAAATCTTCTAATATTAGTTAAATTTGTCAATATATATATATTTAATTAATTATTGAAAACAATGGATTTATAGAAAAAAAGAAAACTCTAAAAAAATTGATTGCAGAAATTTAATTATTTTCAAAAGTAATAAAATTCTAGTCAACATTTTTTTTATTTTTAAAAATTCTCCTCATTTCAATGATTTTTAATATCTACTATTTTAATAAAATTACCTAAAAGAATTCAATTATTTAAAAACAATTTTAATAAAATTGTACGCAAACATTTAATTATTTTCATAAATAATAAAAATTTCACAGGAATTCAAATTTTTTATAAGTTTCTTCTCAATTACTCAATTACTCAGTCGAAGACTAGGAGTAATTGTTTTCTTTATGTTTTATAACAATATTTTTAATGTTGATTAATTTCAAAATAGTTTGAATCTGAATGTTTTGAAGAATTTTAATTCCTACGGAAAAATAATAATAACCAAATATTTTAAATATTTAAAACAGAAATTATTGTTTTCGAATAATTTTACAATTAAAGATATTCGTAAATAAATTTAACAAATAAATTTACATTTCATTTAATAAAATTTTTACCTTGATCTTCTAAAAATTAAAAAATTTTCAGATTCATTTTCAATTACATTTTCTAATTGACAAATATAATTTATAAACATTTTTTTCCTTTATTTTGAAAAAATTTTGAATTCTATTAAAGCAATTGAAATTTAGAAATAGAATTGATGCAAAATATTTTCAAATGAAAATTGAGAATTTTCTACAAAAATATTAAGAAGCGGAAATATCTAATGTGTTTCTTCCCAACAAAAAAAAAAAATTGTAAAAACGGGTTACTATCACAGTAGTATAAAAATAAATCAGATAAATGGTCAGACGAAACTTTGAATTTTTGTAATTTTCCTAATAGGGATGAAAAACTATTTGTTTACTATTACCTAAGAGTTGTTTACTAAATGTCTCTTTCTTTCAAGTGGAGAAAGTCGATTTTAGTCAGACATAACGATTTTCTTTTTTGAAATTGTTAATTACTATAGGCAGAGACATATTAATGAGGCAAGACATTTTCAACTGTTGCAAAATTTGTTTAATTGAGTGAAAGAAGACAGTTTGCAGACTGGAAAAACTTTTAAATTATTTTTGTCGTTAGGAATCAAGTTGAATAAGTACTTTTCCTTGAGAGAATTATTTAACGTTTCTTGAATTTTTGAAGCTTTGCGGTAAAGGTTAATTTTAGCATGACAAAATTGTTAATTAGGGTACTGAAAGTTTAATGGAAAGTAGTAAACGTAATTGTTTATCTAACTATTACTGAAATTTACGTACTAATTATTAATAATATCAGTTTGAAAAATAATTTATCTAATTTATTTTTATTACTTTTTTATTTTTCGAACATTATTTATTTAGGTAATTATTGCAAAATTAGTAGGAAAAAAATTTCTTTGGTTTTCTTAATTGCGTATCAAATAATTGTTATTGGTATTTTCAACTTTTATCAGTGGTAAAAACAATTTTAGTCAGACAATTAATTGTATATTATTGTCAATTTTCGTTAGTAGAAATAGTCAATTTTCAGTCAGACAAAGAGGTACAAGTATTTATAACTTTTATCAATACCAGCGGTCAAACAGCTTAATTTACACTATTATAATTTTCTACAGTAGAAATAGTCAATTTTTAGTCAGACAATGTGATACAAAGTTATTTTAATTTTTAGCAATAGCAAACAATAATTTTTCTCAGAAAGTAAAGTTTATATTATAAATAATTTTTCGTCAGTAGAAATGGTCAATTATCATCTACGAGGGTGAAATTTGTTTTAAACGAAAATAAAAATAAACAATTTCTCCCCTTTCAATTTCAGGTAGCACACTTGGAATTCCTGACACTGTTATGGGTCTGACTTTCGTCGCGGCAGGTGTAAGCGTACCTGATGCACTTTCTTCACTGGCTGTTATCAAAGAGGGCCTCGGCGATATGGCCGTCAGCAATGCAGTCGGGAGTAATGTCTTCGATATTTTAGTTTGCCTCGGTCTTCCGTGGTTCATTCAGACTGCAATTATTAAACCCGGCTCACACGTTAATGTCACCAGCAGAGGTAAAATATTCTTTAATTCACAATATTTCACATATCTACGAGAATTATTTATTTTCACAAAAAAATAAACTCTTCATTAAATTCCATTGTTCTCTGTCCCATATATATAAACATTGTCAATATCCAATAATTTAATTACTCCTACTATAAAGCATTCTTTTTCTTGTTTTCGTTTAGAAAGTTTTTTTCTACAATTGATTATTTTTTTTTCTCTAATTCACCTTAATTAAATTCTATAATTCACTATAGAAGGATAAATAAATTTCTTTTTTCTATAATTCACTCGGATTGTCTTCTATAATTCACTGAAATCCGGATATAATTGATTGTAATTTGATCTTCTGTTTACAGGTCTGACCTATTCGACCCTTTCTCTACTTTCGACAGTCATATTTTTGGTATTAGCGACACACATGAATGGCTGGAAATTAGATCGACGTTACGGTATTGTACTGATGGTTTGGTACTTGATATTCATTGTGTTCGCTTCATTGTACGAATTGAATGTTTTCGGACAAATGAATCCACCAGCATGTCCAAGTATATATTAAAATTTTTTCATTCGAATATTTTTTTTAATCTCAATTAATTTTTAAACGATAAAATATTTGCATCATTCAGACGAAATTTATTGTATTCTTATTGAAAGTAATAGTTCGCAACAAAAAAGAAGAAGAGGAAGAAATGAAAAAGAAAGAAATGGAAGAAAGAAAGAAATAGAAGAAGAAAAGAAAAATAATGAAAGAAAAGAAAAGAGGAGAAAAAAAGAAAATTAAAAAAATAGAAGAGAAGAAGAAGAGGAAAACTGTATTAATTATTAACGAGGAAAAATAGAAAATAGAATTTGAGACATAATTGCAAGTAGAGGAAGATTTTTAATATCAGAAAGACGGCTAAAGGAAATAAAAGTAGAAAAATAGAAGTAAACGAAAAATTAGAACAAGTTAATGAAAAGTGATTTGAAACTAAAAAGGATTTTAACATTTCCATATTGCAGATGAAGAATAAAAGTAGAAAACAAAAGAAAAGAGAATATGGAAAGAAGAAAAAAATAAAAAAAGAAGCGAAGAAATATCTAAAAAAACTGAAGAAAGAGAACAAAAATATAACAACCTTTGGAAAGAAGAAAGGAAAACAATTTCATTAAAAAAAGGATAAACTAACCAAAGAAGAGGTACAAATAGAAGAAAATGCAACAGGCAAAAAAGAACAAAAAAAATAGAAGAATACAAAAGAAGAAAAATAGAAGAGGAAATAATTTCATTCTAGAAGCTGGGAAACAACCAAAGAAAAAGAAGAGAAGACAGAAAAAATATGGAAAGAAGATAAGGTAATAAAAAAGGTAAAAATTAATGAAAGAAGAAAAAAAGAATGATTAAAAGCAGACTAGGAAAAAAGATAATGGAAGAAGAAAATAATGGAAAAAAAAAAGAAAATGGATAAATTGATAAAATAATTGAAAAGTTAAAAAATGATAAAAGAAAAAGAAGCAAAATTAAAAGAAAATAGGGAAAGAAGATAAAATAGCGAAAGAAGTAAAAAAATAATTAAAGGAGACGAAGAAAATGTGGAAAGAAGATAAAATTACTAAAGAAGTTAAGGAATAACCAAAGGAAAAGAATAAATTTGAAAAAAATGTGAAAAGAAGATAAAATTACTAAAAAAGTTAAGAAATAATCAAAGAAAAAGAAAAAATTTGAAAAAAATATGGAAAGAAGATAAAATTACTAAAGAAGTTAAGAAATAACCAAAGAAAAAGAAAAAATTTGAAAAAAATGTGGAAAGTAGATAAAATAATTGGTGAATCTAAAAAATAATCAAAGAACGAAAAGAAAATATGGAAAGAACAATTAATTACTACTAAAATGGTTAAGAAATAAACGAACAGAAAGAAAAAATTTTGAAAAAAATAAATTGAAAGAAGATAAATTTAATTATATAAAAACAGTGAAGAAAAAAATTTTAAAAATTCGAGAAAAGATGAAAAGGAAAATAATTGAATTTAAGATGCGAAGAACCATTAATGCAGAATGAGAGAAAATAGAAGAGAATATAAAAAGAAGAATGGAATATACGTAAAGCAAAGAAAAATAACCAAATAAAATGGGGAAAAAATTTTTAAAAATATGAAAAGATGATAAAATAATAAAATTAAATTAAAGCAGCGAAGAATTAAAAAAATGGAGAAAAATAATTGAATTTAACAAGCGAATAACTAATAACAAATAAGGAGAGAAAATAGAAAAAAAGAAAAGAACAAAAAAAATACTTAAATGAAAGAAGCATGAAAAACCAAAGGTGAAGATGCAAGAGAAATAGAAGAAAACATGAAAAAAACAGTGGAAATAGTGAAATTAAAGAAAACGAAGAAGAAAAAATAGGAGGAAAATAGGAAGAAAGAAAGAAGAAAAAATATGCAAGAAAAGCAGGAAAAAGAAAGAAAAAGGAAAATGAAGTATAGTAGAAAAAGGAAAAGTGTCAGAAAAAAAGATGAAAAACACCAAAAAGAGAAAAACCAATTAAACGAAAGCAAGAAACAGAAAATTAGCCGCAAGGAATTGAAAAGTTTGGTTCTGAGAATTGACAAAAAAAAAACTTTTTAGTTAGAAAATTAAGAAAAAAAGACACTTGAGCGAGAAAAATAACAATATAGAAAAATAAAAAAAAATATCAGTATTATATCGTTAATTGTTATATGATTTGCATTTAGTTCATAAGCGACAGTATCAGGTGTGTAAAACTCGCGTTTATTGAATGCTTACTGTACGTACAAATATTAAAAAAAAAAAGTAAAATAATAATGATTCCATAAAACCATGCTGAGGCACGGTTTCACTTCAGAAAGTATAAAGCAAAATAATCCGTACCCCGGACCACGATTACATATGTGATATAATAAACCAAAAAAAAAAAATCTATGTGTAACTTCCTTGAAAAAGAAAATTATGATGAAAAACAAAGTATTTATTACTTAGCGAATTTTAAGGAATCGTGGTTCCCATAATCGTCCTATTCAAACTCGATTGAATATTCGAGAATTTATTTAAGGGGAAACTGAAACATCGAAACTGACTAGAAAGTATCACAAACATTTTTGTCTTGATAAGCAAAAATAAATAAAAAAAAAAAAAAAATGCTTGTGCACACACGCGTCAAATAATATCTTCCGTATTTTTTGTTTTTTTTTATTTTCATATATTAAATGGTGTGATTTTTATTTTCCTATGCCAAATGTAATAGAGGGAAATCAAAAGAATTTTTGTTTTAGTGAATTTAGGTTGGGAGTTTTTTCTGCTTTTTGAATCTAGCAGGAACTAGAGAAAAAGAAATGGAGAAAAAATATATTTCTTTTGGAGACGAAAATAATTTCTTCTTTTTTTCAATAAATGGCAATTTTTTGGCATTTCTTTTTCAATAAGGGCATTTTTCTTCTTTTTTTTCTATAAAAAACGATTTTTTTTATGAGACACTATTAATTTCCTCTTTTTTTCAATAAACAATAATTTTTTGTTGAGAAAAACAAAATTTCTTTAATGAAAAATAATGCTTCTTTCTTTTTTTTAATATACAACCATTTTCTTAATAAAAAACAATTTTTTTTTTAATGAAAAGCAATTTTTCTTTATAATGAAAAATAATTGTTTCTTCTTTTTTTCAATACACAATAATTTTTATAAATAAAAAACAATTTTTTTTAATGAAAAACAATTCCCCTAATGGAAAACAATTTTTTATTCCATCGAGAAAAAATGGAAAATTGCTTTCAATGAGAGAGGATTTTCATTTATGAAAGGATGAAAAATTCATTCTTATGAAAGAAAATTTTTTCCTCTTGACAGAATGAATCTTTCGTTTTTCATTTTTAATGAAAGAAAATGTTTTCTAGTATTAGAAAGGAAATTGCTATTTTTTTTAACTAAAACTTTTTTCCACTAAAATAATTTGAAAACTTCATTTTCCTATAAAAGAAAATTGTTGTCTACTAAAAAGAATTTTAATTTCTTGCTTCTATTAATTAAATGCAACTTTTGTGTATTATTTACAAAAAGAATTTCTTTCTTTCGAAAAAAAAATTTTCTTTAAAAAAAGGGAGGAAAATTAAATTTTCCAAATGAAAATTTGTTTTTATTAATAAAGAAAATTAAGACAATATTTTCATCAAAAAAAAAAAAAATATTTTTCATTTGAAAGAATAGGAATTTTTTATCTTTAATGAAAGAAAATATTTTTATTGAAAAAAAATATTTCTTTTCTAGAATAAAAAATATTTATATTCAAAAAATTATTTTTTTCAAAATAAAAATATATTATAAACAAATGGATTAAAAAAAGTAATTTTATCGAAAGAATGAAAATTTGTTTTCTCAAGAAAGAAAAATATTTTTTATAGATAGAATAAATACTTCTTTTTTCTAGAAAATGTTTTTCATTGAAAGAATCAGAATTTCTTTTCTTCAATAAAAAAAGTAATGTTTTCTTTATTGGAAAAATAAAAAATTCTCTTAAAAAATGAGAATTTCGTTTCTTCAATAAAAGAAAATGTTTTCTTTTACTGAAAAAATAAAAATTTTCTCTTTTCCAACAATAGAATACGTTTTTCTTTTATTGGAAGAATGGAAAAACTTTTCTTCAAAGAAAAAAAAAAAAATTTCTCTATTCACTAAAACCACTTTTTCTCTTTTTGGAAAAAAAAAATAATTTTTCTCTTAAAACGAAAAATAAATTGTCTCTTGAAAGAAAAATAAACTTTCTCTTTTATAAAAAAATTAATTTTCTCATCAAAAAAATTTATAATCGAAAAATAAATTTTCTCATCAAACAAATTTATAACAGAAAAATAAATTTTCTCCCAAAAGAAAAATTTATAATAGAAATAAAAATTTTTCTTCCATAAGAAAAATAATTCTCATTTCTTTTAAAGAAGAGAAAATTTCCAATCCCGAGAAAACAAGAAGTAAGAAATCCACATTAATTGCCTGAAAAAAAGTACTAATAGACTGATCAAGGAAAATAAAAGTCCATTAAAAAGCAGATTTTTTTCTTTCTTTTTTTAAAGCGCGGATTAACCGAATCAAACCCTGCCGGCACTTTTTTAGTCTTTACTTTTCAAAACAAACATTATCAAATATTATATTAAATGATAAAATATATATAATATACATATACATATATATATAGAATATATTATATGAAAGAAAAAAAAATATTATATATTATACATATATGTTTGTGTGTACAGTAAATTATGTACCTATAATGAGAATTAGCTCGCAGCTGTTTATATATTTATAACGATTGTTAGTCGTTTAAAAAAAAAGTATCGCGGTAGCCAACGAGTGATAAGAAATCGAGAGAAAATTCATCAGGGATCCTGAAAGTTGTGCTTATTCTTCCTGTTATTTTATTTTTTAATCTTCTCTCTATCTGCTTACTTCCAACTGGCTTTTTCCTCTATCTATAATTAATGTATAGATTTAGAATATATATATACATTTCTTTCGCGAAAATTCATCGATTTCAAATCACTCGTCTGTGACCAAAATTTATAATATTATACATAAAAATATTATAAACACACTTAAATGTATTAACGTATATTGTATATCTGTACTAATTATTAATCGCTAGTTCCTTTACGAGCTATTTCTATCAACTGACCACTGAATTTTCTGGCGAAAATTCTACAAAAATTACTAATTTCGAAATTTTCAATTATTTCTTAAATTCGTTATTAATTGCAATTAATAACGAATTTATTTAATAAATATTTTTTTTCAATCAATTTTTTTTACAAAAAAAGTGAAAAAAAAATTATATCTGAAATAGTTATAAATTTCACTACATTGGCGAATTTTTCGGTTGTTTCAATTAATACTTTCGCTATTCTAGAGAAATTTTTCGCTGTTCCAGGTGAAGTTTCGTTTTCGTGTAAATTAAATTTGAAGTAAAAAAATATTAATTTTATTTATTATTTACATTTTATGTTTATACTAATTAAGAATTTTCAAAAGTTTATTTCTTGTTTTTTTATTTATTAATAAAATTAATATTAATATAATTTAATATAAATTAATAGAACTAATAAAATTATTGAAATTAACAAACTGCATTAAAATTATTAATATTAATAATTATAAATATTAATAATTAAAAAAATTAACAGAATAATTAACGGAAAATTAAACAGAATAATTAGTGGAGAATGAAAATCAGACATTTCAAAATTTATTTTAAAAAACAAAAAGAAAAGTCTATATAAATTTTTGTAGAACTTTCACCAAAATTAACATACAAATT